AACACCAGGAATGCAACTTGGTGCTAACTTCTCCGACATGAAATCTGCTTAGAGAATCGGCAAGCCAATTGTCCGAACCACGAACGGAACAAACAACCAGCTGGATGTTGAATAAAGCAAGTTGCAACCAGAGTTCCCGCAAACAACGCTGCATGAAAACATTGGTGGAGTACTGTGAATTGATAACCGCGACGCAAGTGGTGTTGTCTGACAGGAGTTCTACGCTGAGGACCGCAAGCTTGAGAGACCAGAGCTTGATAGCAATAACGACAGTCAGAAGTTCCAGTGCATTGATATGCAGGCCCTTAGCCAAAATAAACTCCGGGAATTCGCGGTGGAAGTATTCTCCAAAACACACCGCTCCGCAACCGGTGAGACAAGCGTCTGTAGCGAACAACTCCGGATTGGAAATAACAACGTCGGAAGGAATAACCGAAACGCCATTGAAATGCGAGAGGAAAAACAACCACCAATCGATGTCGGAATGCAACTCATCAGTGACTGGAAAGGAAACGCTCTTGGGACGAGAATGACAAGAACGGAGAGCGTTCAAGAGGCGACACATAAAAGCTCGGCCGGGGCGAACGGATGCAGACACGAATGAAAGTTTACCGAGCAACTGCTGAAGTTCTCGTCGTGAAAAGGAAGTTTTACACGGGTGTTACGAAAACTAAGACCCTCGAAAACTAAGACCTAAGACCTAAGACCCGTCTTAGTTTTCGAGATTACGAAAACTAAGACCCCCTAAAATCGAATCCGTCGAAATATAAAGTCAAATTGTAACCGAAATAGGTCTGATCTGTCAAATTATATCATAATCGATCCTTTCCACCGAGTTTTAGGTCAAATTTAACGGTAAATTTAGGGGTCTTAGTTTTCGTAATTTCGAAAACTAAGACCCCTCTTAGTTTTCGTAATTACGAAAACTAAGACCCCCACCAAAACAATCTCTAAAATTTCTACGAAGTCGAATTACGACCGTTTGAAGACTATAATCTGTAAGACAAACAAAAACTACTATCACACGCGTGCTGATCTACGATCAGCTAACAATTTGTAGACTCGCTTTAAAAAGAGGACCAAAGCCATAGACTTCCTACGTATCTATTGTACACTGAAAATATGCCTTACCCCTATTGGTCTTTAATTTTCTTGTTTATCCTTTAAATCATGAAATTGGCTTTCCACTGGAGATGGATGTTTTTCTTCGTGTCTCTGCGATCGAGATTGCGTTACCTGTAACGATCACCTGAGTGGGTTTGTGTGCAGCGGTTGTCGTGTTTATTTTATTGTTCTGAAATTAGAACTCCAATTCTCGAGACGATGCTTTGCTAGTACAGGAAATTCATTCACTCATTCGTTTTTTTAATTATTATTTCATGAGTGATTTTAGCGATTATCCCTCACAGACTATTTCTCCTTGCCCCCCACCCCTACCCCTCAACTACCATTGCATTGTAACGAGGTGATCTCCGGGGTGGCAACGATAAAAACAAACGCTAGAAAAACACAATGGAGCATATTCTCCTTTTTTCGCCCTTTTTGTAAAAGCACTTTTCTATCTATGACCTGGCCAGAAAAGGAAAAACAAAATCCCTTTTTTTGTGTGATGTTTAACCGATAACGCCGTTGACCACTTAGCGATCAGGCATTCAGGTCGCAGTGACATGTTAGCCCGCAACGAAGACAAAAATCCATCTCTAGTGGAAAACCAATTTTATATACTTTAAGGATAAACAACCAAAATTATAGGGGTAAGGCATATTTTCAGTGTACAATTATACGTAGGTAGTCTATAGCTTTCATCCTCTTCTTAAAGCCACAATATTGATAATGTATATCAACAAATCGTTAGAAGAAGCGGATCGTCTAGCACGCGTATGATAGTAGTTTTTGTCTGTCTTACGGATTATAGTCTTCAAACGGTCGTAATTCGACTTTGTAGAAATTTTAGAGATTGTTTTGGTGGGGGTCTTAGTTTTCGTAATTACGAAAACTAAGAGGGGTCTTAGTTTTCGAAATTACGAAAACTAAGACCCTTAAATTTACCGTTAAATTTGACCTAAAACTCGGTGGAAAGGATCGAACATGATATAATTTGACAGATCAGACCTATTTCGGTTATAATTTGACTTAATATTTCGACGGATTCGATTTTAGGGGGTCTTAGTTTTCGTAATCTCGAAAACTAAGACGGGTCTTAGGTCTTAGGTCTTAGTTTTCGAGGGTCTTAGTTTTCGTAACACCCGTTTTACACAGCCACTTTTGGAGTTCTTGTTGCAGTTCTGAGACGCGAAAGGCTGGAACAGATAAAGTCATGTCTAAGGTATCGATCCAGATACCAAGGCAAAGCATTTGATGACAGGGTGGTACGTCCTTTTCTGGCGAAGCCAGCAGACCAAGTTCGGTAAACAGGGAATTCATACGCTGGAAGGATTGGTTGGAACAACTAGGAGACTCTGCGCCGTAGAAATCGTCGATATAAACATCGACCGAAATTCCTTCATTGTTCAAAATATGCACGACGCTCTTAGTTGTACGCTGGCAGATCAGAGTTGCTGAGCGTAATCCAAACGGCAAAGAAGTGTGGAAATAGATAGAGCCATCGATGCACATGCCCAACAAACGATAATCCGCAGGATCGATTGGGATCTGCTTGTAAGCTCGCCGAAGGTCTTTCTTGAAAATATGACAACCGCGGCCTTTCGCATTGATAAATTCCACGAGTCGATCAATTCCGGGCAGACGCAGCTTAAAACTTTGATCCAAATAAGAGTCTTTGCTAATACCGTCATTAACGGAAAAACCCTCTGGAAAGCTCAAGTCGTGGACGATGCGCAGTTCATCTGAGTCACGCTTGGGGACGCACATAAGAGGTGAAACGACACAATCGGAATTAAACGGATTACAGTGAAAAGGCCCCATCACCGACTGATGGTCCAGTTCTTTTGCTATGTACAAAGTTAAACAGTTACCATTTGTAGCGGCAGAAGGATGATTACGGAGCGTGGAAAGTGGTAACACATGAGCGCGACAATTAATAGGCCAGCCATAACGCAAGAAATCAACTACGATTCTATCTTCATAATGTTCAAGATATTGAAACCAATAATCAATGTTAAAACCGGATTGAACTGGGCGTTTAGCGGCGAAGGCATTGGGAGCGCCACACGCCCGAACCTCGTCGGATAAACGAACCAAGGATGATAGTCAAGATGTTTGCTCTGTCGCCGAAGAAAACGATGAAGACTGAACAGTAGGAATTGGATATTTCCGTTTTGCACAAGTGAGCATCGCATGATCTGTGGAGTCGCAAACACGGCAACGATGAACCAGCTTGTATGACGCGTCACTCAGGTTGCAGCTGCACTTTCCGGAATAATTCCAGTCGCGGCAATAACTTTCGTTAGCACGAGTGCGGGTTTGAGAAGAGGGGTTTGAACGGGAGGTTGCTGCCGTGTTGGATCTAAGATCTTGATGAGTAAAAAACGTTTGAGCCCGCTCGCGAATTGCATCGGAAGCGTTCCAGGCTAGGCGGCCCTGATCAACGGCATTGTGGACTGAAAGATGAAAATTACGAACGCTGGACCAGGAATATGTAATGGCTCGGTCCATAAGCAGCTGCAAATGGCGAAACAGACATTGCTGGCGGGACTCTGGTTGCTCCTTGCAAAATTCGAGAAAGCCACTGACGAATTCCGCGAGGTCAAGTTTGTCATATTCGACCGTACCTTTGGCTGAGAAAAGATAACAGTTGGGAAGGGAAGTGCTGGCCTTCTTCTTGGCACGTAGTTGCTCTAATGTTGCAAAGTGCTCTACCGGAGAAACTGGCGAGGACGAAGGCGCAATAATCTTCTCCAACTGCACTGGCGAAACCGGTGGCGACGTGGCTGAGGACGAACTCGTGGACAGCTTGGCTAGTTCCAATTTAGCTTCAGTGAGTTTTAACTCAGCTGCTAAATTTTCTTTCCGAAGCGTCTCCAGAGCGATAAGATCATCTACACTGTGAGAAGCGGACTGATCCACGCTGGCAGCAGAAGTTACCTTCGTGGAAGACTTGGAGGACTTGGATTTAGATTTCTTAGGCTTGGCGCCGGCGAGCTTGTAGTAGTTCTCAGCTTCTTGGTCCTCTAAAAGAGCCGACAAATCGGCGATCTCCTCGGGAAGCAAGAAATCAGACGAGGTTTTTGATTTAGACTGGCGAGTGGATTTAGCTGCCATCGTAGGAGGAAAAAAAAAAAAAGGACGCGGTGGAGAGGATCGTCAGCGGACAACGAAAAAGGAGATGCTAAAACGATCAAGTAGAGACCACAAATGACCTTTGAGACGAAAAGACATGTATAGAACGCAGAAGAAACCTGACACTGACGAAAACCATACGAGGAGGTTTGTCCCTAATTACGTGCTTTGACAAGCCAAAGCCAGCACAACAGAGACTTCAATTCGACATCTGAACCCAAGTCACTAGTACAGCCAGCTTAGCACTAGTCTCCCTTACAGCCGTTTTTGTCTCGTCATTATTATTACTCGTTATTATTACTATTAATGAAATAACAATGATAATAACAACCTATAGTTTAAATGAAGATCTGTATCCGCTACTGATTACTGAGCCACAACGCTGACTTTGAAATATCATGCATGTCATTCGGAAATTATTACATTTTTCATTATTCCATTTAACAGCTTCCATTTGGCGCGTAAATATGCTCGGATTGTAATGCACAATACAACCCTTGTCGAAATTACCGCAGCGGCACGGATTGCGGCCATCACTGACTTTTTCACTGAGTTTTTTCTTCTCAGCGTTTTTCACATATGAAAATTGTACGATGCTGAATGAGACAATCAGATCACGCCATCACATAAATTACTACATTGCGAACTTGGCGCAACGGTTAATTTTGCGAGGGATTTATTTTGCTTATAAATTATCACACCCGGAAGAAACAGCAACAGAAGTGCTGAAAGGTCATCAGGATCGCACGCGCTGTGATTGGCTTCTCTATCATGTCCTGCGCTGTGATTGGTTGCTCTAGAATGAACCGCGCTTTTCGCTGGCTCTATAATATAAATCTTGGAATAAAATTTGCTGCAATACTTTCAACTGTCGTCTATCGAGTCGACGTCGCGATCAAGAGAACCTCGAAAGCGTGGTATGCGATTCCTGAAACCGAGACAAAAAAAAAATTGAAATTTCAACCTCACTCCAGTTCCAGATGCTGGGCAGTCATTCCATTTTGATTTTATTTCTGGCACTGGCTTCTGCTCTTCAGCCTCAAGAGCTTAGCATCGAGGACATCGTAAAAGGTAGGTTATAAAGATATATACAACAACTTTCAAGCGAAAAAGCTATAACCACTGCACCGAGGTTCGTGAATCGCACTGAGTAATTTCTGTATCACCAGTCCGCTGAAAATTTCGTGGATTATTTTACGTCTGTTAGCTGACGCGTAGGCCCGGAGCCTGCCAAATTGGAATGTGTTTGTCGTGGCCCTAGCTTTGTATAATAATATTACCAGTTAAGGTTACGTGCGAGCGATCTTGCAAATTCTCCTACAACATTTAAAGTTTGTTAGGAACCAACAGAAATTTCGCATTGTTAGATAACTAGTATGTCTGCTCTTTAGGGCTCAACACCATGCAAAACCGGGCGCATTAAGTTAACTGTAGGTTCTACGCTACTGGTCTTTTTTCCCCAAAGCGCGCCAAATAATGACGTAAGACGCATTGTGTTTTCTTTTCGTAACAATAATCAGACTCTCTGTGCCGACTGCCGAACGGAGCTCGCCAACTTCCTAACGTTCATGCTTAGTCCGAAATGTGATCTTCATGGTTGTTGAAAAATCTGCCAAATTGACAACGGGTCATTGAAAGTCTCTTCCGTAGGCTGGGTTGAATGACATGTGGTGCGTCACGCCGATCATTGCTCGCATAAATTGGACGTTGTTGTCACTAGAGAAAAGTGTCTATCAATATTTAGTATATACACACTCAGTCATCTTGGTAATTCAAGCAATCTGATTGGTTAGCTATCTCGGACTATGACGTTATATTCACCGCGCTAGGCGGTGAATATAAAGCCGAACAAAATCGCTGTCGTGAACTGGGTGTTTGCCAAAGTTTCAAGGTAAAACCTTTTTGAAAATACACGAATATCCAAGTGCTGATGACTTTGAAGGCAAGAAAAGACTTCATGGTGTTTAAACAGCGTGATTTATTGTGAAGTGGTTTACTTTAGCTGACTTTTTGTACGCTCGAAGCTATGTTTACCACTACAGAGGAAAACGAGGTCGCTTTGCATGTCACTGTTTTGTGATTTCGGGATTTTCTCCCAAGACCAATTTTGCCTATAAATAGAAGTTAATTTATGGAGAAGAGAGGAAGGCAAATATTTTCGAAAATTGTACGTGCCAGCAAGTTAACAAGGCAAAGAACTTTGGAGATAAACAACGCTCACCTTGATCGCAGCCGCTGTTGACAGCATTTGTAAGAAGCGACGAAGAAAACTTTCTCATTCACGGTGAATGGACAGAAACAAATAAAGCTCTAGATACTTTTCTTCTCAGAATTGGGTAGTAATTTAAATTTTCGGCGTTTTCTTTTAAACCGTTGATGCTAAAGCTTACAAAACTCGATACAAAAGGATTAAAACTATCATTTAATTGCCATGTTTGAAGATACTGTAAAGATCTAACTTTTGCGCATCCACTGTTTACGGCTTCGTGTTCACGCATGAATTTTCACCCGTCAATCAAACTAATCGTTTTTTAATGGTTTCCTTTCTGATTCTGTTGAGATCACTTCGTGTGAATATACTAAAACAATTATTCACCTCAGGCTCAGTTAATATTGTTGAATAATCCCCTCGACTTCGTCTCGGGGATTATTCAACAATATTAACTTCGCCTTCGGCGAATAATTGTTAAATATACCGCGTCACAGTGACCTAGTTTTGAAGCCATTTCTAGGGAAAAATTTTGGTCGTGTAGCTTGGACTCCTTTTGTCATGCATTGGTCATTTTATGGCACTGTATTTCCTGGTGATATGCAAATGTCAATATGACGTCATTGAACATCGCCTATGACCACGTGACCAGAAACGAAAATGTCTAAAATCTTGAAAGTTTATAGATGGTTTTCACAGTGACGTCATCTAATTGTAAAGTCAAAATAGCTAAGTTTTACGAATTCTTATTTACACTAGGTTGAAGATAAACAAAAAGTAAATCTTTGTGCAAGTTTCCATTCCCGTAGCATGTTTCATTTCGAAAATACAGCAATTTGAACTTCCGAATTTTCAAAGTGCGTGACATCAAAATAGGAATGCTGTCTCGTTGAAAAAAGAGCCTCTCCTCTTGATTTTCAACAGTATAACGATTTTAAGTATGAGAAGACATGTTTATACGCACGTACGGCTAGTTCTTGAGTGAAAAGAAAGAGCTTTTAAAGAAAAAGTAAACTCCAGATGTTTTTGTTGATTTCCGGCGGCCATATTGGTGGACCAAAGCGGTCCACCAATATGGCGTCTCCATACAAAGCTCTACAAAGTTGCGCGAAACGTTTCGGCAAATAACTCACAAACTGTGTGCCACAGAGACCCGAGACTTGGACAAATTGTTCATATATTAGTCTTTTATAACATTTCATCTTCTTGGCTTCCTCCACAGGATGGTTTCCAATTTATTTTTTCGTTGCGTGACAGTGAAAACGATCTATCATTCCAATCATGTTTTTTTCGTGGAAATTTACTTTTGATTAATCTCACATTAAACTATGCATAGTTTTTGTAATATTTTCTTTGAGCAAGACTTCTGACCCAGTTTTGAGGTACAGAAATAGTCCTAATTCGTGTCAAAGAGAACAATTCCTAAAAATGAATGCATCTTTTTTTTGCAGAATTGCAGTCTAAATAGTCCGATACGTTTAAAATACATTTTGAGCCAAAACTCGACTTCTTTGACGCATGCATATGATACTTACCCAATATGCTATGCGAGGGAACCGAATTGATCGCGACCTTGTTTTGTTGTGGGTGCCCCTGAATAACGGCCTGGAAACCAACGAGAATATAGTTCAAAACCACTTAAACATAGCATTTTTAAACATATTTTAGTAGTTAAACGGTAGATATAAGCATATTTTTATCCCCTAAAAATTTTCAATCTGTTCGGATTTCCTAGCGGAAAGTCTGGTGATCCGAAAATTATCTCGGGATCCAAACCTCAGGGGCACCAAACGGATCTGTTCCTCACAATATCTGTTCTACAGAGATTTTTTTGCTGGCTGGGAGCTGAGGTTTCGGGTGTTCTCCTGGGAAGTAAAGTCTTAAATCTACGGTCAAGAATTTATCAAATGTATCAAAAATTCTTGCTGGAGGTATTTTATCGATCTAATTTGCTAGAAATTTTCTTTGTGCGCGAATTGTGCGCGCGGAGTCGCGCGCTGATGATTTATTGAGTAACATCTGTAAACCTGAAGAAGGCTGGTATGGCCAGCCGAAATATTGTTATAAAAAACAATACAAGTTGTTTTAAATCAGCTTTGCTGTAGTCTTCGGACTTCTCGTTCTTGATGATTTATTCACCGCTGATCAAAAAATCTGCACGTGGCACCGTTGTTAGTTGTTAGAAATTAGAAATCAGGCCACGCTCTGCCACTGGATAACTGGCACACTCGAAAATTTGGCGGTCTTTCCACGCGGTACGGTTCAATGGCGGTTAGGACGATTCATGAGATTCATGTTTATGCAAAAGGTAAGGTTTCTTTGAATATACTGAATATATTGTCTACTATTATGCATGCATGTTATTTTTAATTCCCTTGTCTTACTTATCTGCATGTCACTAAATGCCATTAAAATCGCTTCAAGAGTTGGCTTAGTTTCAGTGTGTATTGGTAGTTTTCGGATGAAACCATTTCGAAAAGCGCGAACGAGATACTGGAGATAAAAAGGATGAGTAATGAATTCAAATTCTTTAATTGTAAAATGTGCCTAGTCGTACAGGACAATTAACCTCATGTTTTTCTCAACCGTGTAAATTGATGTCACAAGGGGAAACAAACTTAAACATTTCCTGTATAAGCTCATTTTTTTCTCCACTGGTCGAGAAAGCTCGGGGGACGCGAACACGATGCTATCATAACCGAAAATTGTTTTTAATACTACTGTAGATCGAGTCTTCTGAGGAGAGTGTTGTCAAAGAATTATTTCGGTGCATATTAGTTGGTGTCGTTTCTTTATTTTGCTTTTAATTATTTACAGAGGCTTTCATACTGAACCCTGAGCTGTAATATTTTCTGATAATGCTTGACAACGTCAACAAAACATTTTGAAAAAGCTACCAAAACAGCAGCCAGCATGTACTACAACGAGTTTTAACAGCAATTCAAAATCCGACTCATCGTGTTCTTGAAAAGTTGCATTTTTTCGATTCCAGAATATCATCCTTTCTTTTACTGTGTTGTACTTCTACGCTGTGTTGGAAAGATTTTATCTCAATTCAAATGCTGTGTAGTTGTACATGTAAATATATTTATTGCATTTATCCTAATGCTCAGTCAATTCCAAACATACCCATTCTTCCTGGGAATTTTTTTGGCATTTTGTTCCTACAGTGGGCATTTTTCATTGACAAAAGCATCATTTGGGTAGGGAATTTTTCATTGTTTAATTAACCTTACCAAGGGGTACCATCTAAGCTTGTACTTACGTATGTACTCTGTATATGCCATACTGTTTGCCAAGTCTACCATGGAAAGTTTATCGTATAAAGTAATTTTGGGTTGTAAAGTTGTCCTCTTTGCAGTGTCTTTGGGGTCTGTTTGGATATCAGGAAAACTGTAAGGTTGCTGAGTTAAGTTGTTAGGTATGTTATTACTGTGAAACTCACAAAACCGTGAACACCAGAAATATTTATGGAATATTATTTTGTTACGAGAATCAGGCAATAAGGCGCGAGATAACTTACACACAAACAGCAGTGGTAATTAGTTTGTGGTTTAGAGTTTTGCTTGCATATTCCTGAACTTAATTGTGCTTGGCCAGTACACAATCAACATTCCTGAAAATTTTCAGGTGTTCACTGTTTTTGGAGTTTGACAGTAACAATTTTCAGCTTTTTACAAGGTGACGTACATGTAACTTTTGCTTTGATACTGGGGCATTTGTTCTAACTTTTATTTCCATGGTGAGGTTTTGTATGTATCTACTGGCCCCACAGTGGGGGCGGGCATTTGCAGCTTTCAAATTAAAATGTGACAAGTGCCTGTGGAGGGGGGTGGGCATGTTTAGAATTGACTGAGTCATAAAGAAGCTTATCCTCTGTAATCCTTTTACCTATACAGCCCTATTTGTATTAAGAAGTTTCATTATGATTTATTAACCCACCCCAATTTGTACCCTCACATTAAAACAATATACTTCTAGAACGGTAGTACGTTACGTGGAGAATTCAGTTTTTGTATTTGCTATCTGACTTAACCCACACTAAGATTTGTTATAAGTTTTTTTTTAGAATAGGCAGTCTTATAAATATACTGCAGAATTAAACAATGGCTGCACCAGGTCAAGTTTGAAATAATATGTCTAGGCTGATTAATATTAACTGAAAAACACAATATTCCATTGGTTTTCTCATCCTTATAGCTCTCACTGATATAAAAAAGGAAACACTATGGAATAAAGTTCTACATTTAAGAGATTTAAACTCAGCTTTTGAGTCGTAGTAGTGCAGCATACACTTTTCTCTCTGCAGTAATTTCAATACATATTCTAAGAAACAGATAATAATAAATAAGAATTTATCGTGAAATTTAAGAACATTATGGAAACATACACATGTAAAGAATGATAATTTAACTTTGATGCTGCTACAAAAACCTTTGCAAATTCCCTTTAAAAAACAATTTATTAATTTACTTATAAAAAGACGTCCGTTTCTGTAGACATGTATCTGGTAGGTGTGAAGAGAATGCATCATTGAACTGTGTTGTATACTGTATTTTGGTAATTTTAGCAATGGATCTTTGATTTCCTTTCGCATATAGCGGCAGACAGTCAACCACTTGGTCATGTTTAAACTTCTTTTACCTTAACCTGCCTGACAGTTGAGTAAGTCTATGTAAACAAAACACTATTCCTCTCACTAAAGGGCTCGCTCCTGTTTTAGTATTCATTGGTCAATTGTCCTTGTGACTGTTTCTCCTGCTGTAGGTGGGGCTAGAGTTGTGACAACGAGCATTCTTTGTCTGTTCGTCCTTGCGACCCTCTCTCCTGCCATTAGGTGTGGCTAGAGTTGTGACAACGAGCATTCTTTGTTTGTTCGTCCTTGCAACCCTCTCTCCTGCTGTAGGTGGGGCTAGAGTTGTGACAACGAGCATTCTTTGTCTGTTCGTCCTTGCGACCCTCTCTCCTGTTGTAGGTGGGGCTAGAGTTGTGACAATGAGCATTCTTTGTCTGTTCATCCTTGCGACCCTCTCTCCTGCTGTAGGTGGGGCTAGAGTTGTGACAATGAGCATTCTTTGTTTGTTCGTCCTTGCGACCCTCTCTCCTGCCATAAGGTGGGGCTAGAGTTGTGACAACGAGCATTCTTTGTTTGTTCATCCTTGCGACCCTCTCTCCTGCTGCAGGTGGGGCTAGAGTTGTGACAACGAGCATTCTTTGTTTGTTTGTCCTTGCGACCCTCTCTCCCGCCATAAGGTGGGGCTAGAGTTGTGACAACGAGCATTCTTTGGCTGTTTGTCCTTGTGACCCTCTCTCCTGCCATTAGGTGGGGCTAGAGTTGTGACAACGAGCATTCTTTGTCTGTTTGTCCTTGCGACCCTCTCTCCCGCTGTAGGTGGGGCTAGAGTTGTGACAACGAGCATTCTTTTATCTGTTGGTTTAGAGTTGTGACAACCAGCATTCTGTGTCTGTTCGTCCTTGCGACCCTCTCTCCTGCTGTACCCTGGGGCTAGAGTTCCACATGTTGGTTCTTTTGACCCTCTCTTCTTCCACATGTGGTGTAAGGCTTCTGACGATGGGTGCTGTTAGCTTGGCCTTATTATCAGATATTTGTCCTTCTCAACTTTTTTTAAAAATCATTTATCCCTTTTTTGTTTTGTTTTTAGGTGACCTTTTTAGGGTAAAATTCCGTTAAAAATGGGCAATTATACCATTTTTTAGATGTTCGAAAATCCTAGGAGAGGCAGGCAAGCAAGAAATTTTACAACAAATGTTCCGAAAATTCTAGATCTCAAATCGTCTTCCGAACAGATATTGTCCGAAAATTGACGTTGGGTGCCCCTGTTTACTTGATATATTTATAAAATTACTACGCCATGGACGAAAAGTATTCGTGAAAAGGAAAAGATTGTCTTTGGATTCTTTTATGGGCTGAAAGAAGATAAAATGACAAAGGCAACTGTTTCAGGTCCCCGGCGGATCGTACAACGGTGAGAGTCCCGGGATTGTCGGTGTAAACAAGATGAGGATAATACATTTAATTAAAATGCTTGTAGGTGACCTTTGGATATAGTTATAACTGTAAACACACTACTTACTTCATCACTGGGGGATCACTGGAGCAGTTGATTAGTATTTGTTTTACGGTCGTTTGGTGTTCGGAAGTTGCTTGACCCCTTTGTTTTATACGTTTTAAACAGTTCATTCTTTATTATTTACAAACATGTCTTCGTTTTGTACCAGTGCATTCAGTATAATGAAACTGACATATATTACATTTAAGCAATAGAAAACGTTTTCCATGTTTGCATAGCCTGAGATAAACACGAGAGGGGTTGGGAGAATTCGAGACAGTTATGCAAACCTGAGATGAAGTCGAGGGTTTGCATAAGTGTCGAGAATTCTCCCAACCCCTCAAGTGTTTATATCAGGATATGCAAACACAGGAAAAACGTTTTCTATTGCTTTTCTAAAATAACTTTCCCGAGAAAAAAAGCAAAACTCTCTTGTTTAGGGCACTGATTAAAAGACAAATTCTTACCAGTCGCGAAGTCTTGTACACGAAGCTTGTACGCGTAATCAGTCCTTGTTTTGCAAAACAGATGCTTTCCAAAGTACGGGTTTTTTCTTGCTTAAAATGTCAGCTGGAGCGAAAAAAAATTGACACAGCATGTTTCTTAAGATTTTCCAAGTTTCAGCCGACGAGTAAATGGGTGAATAAAGTAAACTTGTCGAGGTTTTCAACTCAAAATTTTCAAGTTCGTGCTTGTGTGATTAGCGCGCGAAAAGCAAAACATCTTGATGTCAAACCATGTTTACATACTCTCATGCAAACACGCCTCTCAGCCAATCAGAGCGCGCGTACTATCTTAGTTATTTTATAAATACATATTTAACTTCTGTGTTGTGAATCCTGGTTTTGAATTTTTTCTTGACATGAGACGAGGCGCGAGTTTAACACTTTTGCATTTCCTCTGTGGTCTGAATAAATAGGACAAATTTATACAGCGTCGAAAAAGCAAATGTTATTTATCTTTTTTTTTTTTCTAACAAGTACGCTTTTGGAATAAGAAAAAAAAACTTTTTACTGCTTTTTGCTAAAGTGGCTTATCCCTAGGGTTCCCATCAAGAGGTCATAAACTTTAAAGTATAATCCACAAGTGAACGCCAGCAGGACATAATTGGTCAGATGAGCGCTTTGGTTTCTTGCGGGCAAGAATAGTCTCGCTGTTACTAGATGATTACTAAACAGTTTCTCACAACCAAAGCAAATAAATTCCAACTTAAGTATTCCTGTCTGTGGCTCCGTTTCTTTCTTAAAAGAGAACTGTCCCGACTTTCCACATCCACTGCATTTGCTTTCTGAAACAGCATCTCGCATAACTTCAGAAGTCGAAATCCAAAACGACGATGGCTTGATAGGGAGAGATTCTTACTCGTTAACTTATCAAGTTTGTGATTATTGCTCTCAAACACACTCTCTACTTTATGAATTGTTCTGTTTTCAATAACCTTTTCGGTAAGGCTACCACATTTTCTAGCATCTTGCTCTTCAGCACTGGTAAAATTGACACAGAAGTCATGTAATTTGTCCGTATGGAGAGCAAATCCGCCGTCTTGCTTTATACCACTTACTTCGGACGACTGAGCAGGTAAAACTGAGTGAGTCTGCGTGGCAGTAGTTTGGACATGAACGGTTGCTTGAAATTAGTTGCTACTTGGCAAGCAAAGTCCTTTTTCGAAGGAATGGACCAACGCTCCTTAGAAAATTCCAAGCAATGTCTTTTCTTCTTTATTACCTTTCTGCTTGTCATGTTTTCATGTTGTTTTTGTTTTGTTTTGTTCTTTTTTGGCTTGTTTTGTTTAGTTTTTCTTTTTCTTTTCCTTTTGTTTACTTCTCCATATTTTCAAACCTGGGGGGAGACATGCTTTATTGTTTGAAAGTAGCAATTTAGCAAAATGTTTTCAAATTTTGCCAGGTTCGCGCACGCGCACTTATGATTGATAGGATTAGCTGCGCTTGGCGTTGGCCAATCTCGTTCCCAGGGGCCGCGATCCTTTTGGTCAGCAACAGGGATCGGTCCCCATTGCCCGTTCCGCTGGACAAAGCAACGCGGACTCTGGGAACGAGATTGGGCGTTGGCTAAAAACAATAATGCCATCGACCGGAAGTGAAATTGCACGTCCTTAGCAATGCGCGAGATCGATGGAAAGATAGGTCACTCACCAGGGCTTTATCCGCCCTGCTGGCCACCCTCCTACGCTCGTGCTGTGTGGGCTGGTCACGCAATCGTCCTCTTCCAGGGGTGAAGAAGATTGCGTGAAGAGACCAAACGGTGTCAAGGTTCAAGGTTCATTTATTTCACACTAATTACGCAAAAATGACACTACATACAGAAGACTTACAATGGAAAATAGAAAGATAAAATAATCATAGGGAGAAAAATTACAGGATATGTGTGGTGGCCCTTGAAGTAGCAGCTGCTTTCGAGTTAGTTGGAGGCTAACCAGATCAAGGTGGTAGCTCTCTGGATGGTTTAGCTAGACACACACACAAAATAAAATAATAAGAAAAATAGATAATAAAGAGATTGCTAACAAAAGAAAACAGGAACTAACTATAAGCCTTTCGTGTAAAGCTGTCAACAAAAGAATGTTTTCCCTTATGCAATAGGTTGCTTTAAGAAATGACGACGGCGACGCCGAGGATGACGACTGGTAAAAAATGAATTTATGCTTTGCCCTCAAATTTCGCAATTATCTAGATCTGTTTAGTACGCTGATCGGTCAAACTAAATATCATTTCGGAAAAGAAATACGAAAAAATAGTCGTTGTGGCTCACGTTCTCCAAAATACGCAGAACTTTGACAATTTCCCGTTGTTGTTTTGCAGAGGACGGCTGCGAAATGTACAAAGATTTATGAGGCACGTGCACAGCCATTGCACTGCAGGGCCGAGTTGTTCAAAGCTGGGTTAAGATAACCCAAGGTTAGCGCGAGATTTGAATTCAGATTTGAAAGTTTAAAAAGCATTTTAGTTTTCATTCTTTTTGTCTACAAGTTGACGATTGGAAGCTCTAAAAGTAACAGAGAAAATTATCTGAGGAAATACTTTTGAACACAAGAAAAAGAAACCCGGGTTAAATTTAACCCGGGGTTAAGCGCTAATCGGCCTTCGAACAACTGGGTCCTGCTCATTAAACCTTTTGTTTGGTGATGTTTTCGTTGCCGTTGCCGTCGACGTGGTTTGCTTAAGCTTCCTAATCGCCTGCGTGGCCGGCGTTTAACAGCATGGCGGTTGTCAACTTTTAATGAGAGGTGCGTTATCTGCCAGTTAGTAACGCAACGACAAAGAAGGTATTGGGAAGCGTTAATTCTTATGTATTGAGTTTATATCAGTTTTTGTCGTCTTCTTGAACGATGCTTTGATTTGCTTGAGTGTGCTATATTTGTTGTGAAAATTTTTTCTTGGCCTTGAAAAAACTTAGGGACTTTCTGCAGTCTATGGTTAACACTTTTCTAACGGCATAATTTCGCGCATAATAGTATCGGTGGAGCATCAAGCATAAATGCCAGCATAATACTACACTACAATTTTGCCAGAATAACAATGCCTTTTTTCGAAGAAAAGAACTATTTTTTTAAAACAATTATAGCTTTTTTTAGCTACCAGGGCCCATTTATTTAGTAAGAATTGTTAAATTGCCGAGCCAATTCAACGTTCGACGCAGTTTTTTGCCATTACAAGTACCAACTTTCCAACTTTACTTTACTTGTTATCCTTTGGGTTATGTGTGTGTCAGTGTGTTACTGATTTATTTATGAATATTACATTCTTTTCTGGGAGTGCAGCGTTGGTTTCAGTTTGATTATTTCATTAGTTATTTGTCAGTGATTTGCACTTTTGTGTTGCTAACATGTTCTCATAACATGTTATGAGAAAACTCTTTTGTGGCATTATAATAACGAGAATAACAGGGACAGTCAAGCATAATTATGATTAGGAGCATAATAGTCTACTTTTTAGTGAGAAGTGGGGGCGGGGGGGAGCTGATGCTTAAAAGCATAACGCACGATTTTAGGGGACCCTACTACAATCATTCAGCCTTGGGGTCATTAGTTGCTTTGTGCCAACGCGCTCGTTGACACTGAGTATAATGTTCGTAACCAGACGAAGCACAGACGATGGCCTACGATGTTCATTCCGAAAGAACTTGGAAGTTTTTAAATGTGGCGGGCGCCGTAAGAAATGCCGCTAAAGAATACTCTGCCTTGGAAAAATCATACATCGGCGGCATCAAGGTCTCAAAGTCGATGAGTCAAAGTCCTTCCATTCTCTCAGATTCGATTCTCTAAGCTATAAAAATTAAGGTAAGACAAGGACATGGCGATGATGCAGCTTCGAAAATTAAGACAAATGTTTGCTGGACTTCAAAAGGAATTTTCTGGATTTGCCAGATGCTACCTACATGCAACCTGGTAAATGTTTAGTTTATAAAAATATCATTGTTTTTAAAACAATAATATTTTGTCTCAAAAGATCATATTATTCAATATCTTGGCCCTACTCTCAGCCAATCATAATGAAGAATTTTCTCTTTGAAATATGACCCTGAGAAACACTGTTGCTTCCCTCCTACCCTTCGTCCATCAGAACCCTCCAGTCTCTCATTTACTAAAATAATTCTTTTTTCAGAACTGAGGGACTTAAATACAAAGGTCAGCAACGCTCATTCACCAGGTAAGCAGCCTATAATATGACTGAATATCACTGTGGGAAAAGCTATTACAATTAAAACCAACACGAACGAAAAGAACACCAAGGTTACATACAATTAGAATAGAAAGTAACAATAAGAAAAATAAAAAAAATGATTCGATTCAAAAAGTCCAGAGGCGAAAAGGGTGGAACACAAAACGTTACGATACAAGTAACAGAAAATCCAAATATACAAGTCAGTAAGACAGTCATGCATGAAAGATGACTTGTAAAACAGACATAGGTGTACCAGCCAGCAGGTCAGGGGGCACTAATGCCCAGGGCTGTTTTGAGGGAATCGTACAATTTTGGGGGCAAAATATGAGGCTGTATGCCTGACTCTGGCACGGCCACTACAGCTAGGTTTGCACTAATGTATACGGCCCTCATGAGAAGTTTTTGTGAAAGCTCACGTCAAAAAAGAGTGAAAGCTCGGGGTCACAGTGGGAACACATGCATCTATGGGATCATTTGGGCTGCAAAAATGTAAACAAGAATGTCTGCCAAATCCCATCAAAGCACATGCGCCACTGTCACCTTAGGTTTAACCTGAGAGTGATAATCACTCTTTCCTGGAGTGTGCTATAGCTTTAATGGCTTGGAGCATGTGGGACCACATAGCTCACATAATAAGGTAACTTATCTATACTAGTTTTAGCCTTAACCTCTTTATATCTGGGCTGGTAGTAATTAGCTACCTTTTTGCAATAAAATTGTGGTGTCCCTGCTCTTTGTAGTTCTTTATTTTATTTTATTTTATGTGGCTTTAATTTGTTCAATTAATAAATAAATATTTTTGATTTTCTTCTCCGTAGACTTACCCGGAGAGGATTTCGAGAATTCAAGGGAATTTCCTGGAATAAAATTCCAGAATCTTGAGGAAAGTACCTGTAAGTAGAGTATTTAGCAAATAGGCAAGTAGTCTCTCATCTTCTTCAGGGAGACAAAAGAGTGTGGTACTCCAGCTGGTTGCAATTAGTAACAGGGAAAAATAAAAGATGACTTTTTAATAGACGTAGGCATATAAGCCGGGGGATCTGGGGATGACAGCTGCTCTCTCCCTCTCTGTTTCAGGGGAATGGTATTATTTTTTGGTACTCATAATTCAGACAAAAACTCTTGGGAGGAATTTAAAAATAATTGTTCTTCAAAAATGGCCAGCATTCAAACTGAATGTAAAACTACTTAATAAAAGGAAATAATAAATAAAATTAGATGCTAGTAAATAGAAATTGTTTATCCTAACCTCCGTGGTGCAAAACGTAATCTTGGAAGATTCCATAGCAACTATTTTTGGCTCATAACATTCTGTCTTTCTTAGAAACCAAAAATGACCAATATGTATGTTGTTTTTCATGCAATTTGAGTATGTTTGTAGTACACGTTCAAAATTTACGTATTCAGGCATGCATAATTTTTTTCAGGGTAAGAAGTTTACTGCCCCAAATCATCAACAATCTAAATGCATTCTAAGCGAGTTCTATGCAGCTTGACCGGGGCAAAATATTTCCTGTTTGGTCCAGTCTACCTCAGTCAAATAAGCATTTTTATCATGTCAACAAATTTTAAATTGGTCATGATTGATTATAAGATGGTATGACTATGACAACTAGCTGTGGATTTTGAAAGGAAAACTGACTGACACACTTTGTTATAATCATCATTAAGTTGGAATTTAGTTTTGTACCTCTTAATATTTAATACAAGTCTTTAAATCACATCTTCTTTTCTGGTGATCTTCTCTCCTTAGACGTGCCCAAAGAGGTTTTCGAGAATTCAAGGGAATTTCCCGAAAACAATTTCCGGACTCCTGAAAAAGGTGAGTAGATTATTAAGAAATATATTTTAATTAGTAAGTTACAGTATATATCAAGTACATTTAGTAAGTACAACAAGTAGTCTCCCATATTTTTTAGGGATACTACGCCTCCAGTGAGTTGTAGTTATAATAAGTTACAGCCATAATGCCAGGGGGTCTGGGGATGCCAGCGAAACTAAACTCCACTCTCCCCTATTTTTGGAGAAATTATTGCACAATTTTGCAGGCAAAACACTCATTTCGTAGGCAACAGCTCTTGTGAGGAAATTGAAAAAGAATTGGTCCTTAAAAGTGGCAAGTTTTGTCGCATTTACTTTGTCCCACCCTAAGTACAGTAACTCGACAGCTCCTGGGTCTAGGAGAAAGGAAGATGTGTGGTCCAGGGCATGGTACAGTGTACTATGGTGTCTGAACAATGGACAACATCAGGCAGCATCAGCCATTGGGAGGAAATGAAAAAAGAATTGGTCCTTAAAAGTGGCAAGTTTTGCTGTGCTTACTTCATATCCCACCCCCAACTAACTGCCCTGGCTGTGGGAGGATGGAAGATGTTCAGTCCAGGGCATGGTGCTATGGTGTCTGAACAACGGGCAACATGCCCGTTCCTGAGAACTGGACACTGGCACCTGTCTGCATGGGGCATTGATCTCCTGAGATTCTCAAGATTAATTGTGACTATTTAGTAAAGTTTCTTTAGTAAAATATGTTACCTGGAACTTTCAGAACATGGTAAAATTGAGGGAGGGAAAATTTTTTCCTTTTTATCACACGATCAAAGGTGAGCTAGGATTTTCAGAAAGGCAACAGCAGCTTATAGTGAATCCGCGAAAAAAGTTCTTTCCTTTGTTTAGACTATTTTGCTAATGCAGACCTTTTTGTAAGACAGACTATCAAACGTTATGTGCCTTTGTTTTGATGATGCTTTTACCATGTTTTATGATGAATCATATACTTCCACCCATATCTCGATCAGTAAGATACTAAAACCAATCGCCACTTTGTAGCGCCTCTTTTCTTAAGCTTAGTGCCAGATACATTTACTTCAATTAGGAATTTCGTTGTTAAATAAAGATAGGTGATTAAATCTTTGAAGCAAGAGGGAATCTTTGACGGAGTACCTAAATTGGCTTAACTCAGCAAGTTTTAATGTCAAGGAAGTTAAGAACACGAAGGACAAGACTAGTGTAGGGAATAACTCATGACTCTAACAGCATATGTTTGAAATTTAACTCTCATGGTGAAGAAGATTCGATTTGTAGTTTATGGCCCAAACTCTATTACAGTTGTGGATGAAATATAAAACATGGTTAAATTAGTGAGCAGTTAAGTATTTTCAGCAAAGTTTTGGAAAGGTAGAAGCTCAGTTTTGATTGCAAGGTTAGAGACTCTTAAATCAAACTATGACTGGACTTCTATGTTGCAATTGAATGCATCCGTTATGGTCGGTCTTTGTGGTTTCTTTGGTTTTGGTACGTTGCTTAAGGTTAAACCAATACTGATTCTAGAAGTTACTTTTGTACACAACAAGTAATAATAGGCTCAATTCCTATTTCTTCATGCTATTTTCACTTTATTTTTTACACTCCAAAGCTTTTCAAGTGTTTACACATGTGTCCCAAAAGATTAGAACAATGAAGATAGCAGCTGGTTTGATGGAAGTTTCCAAATACAACAATACTCTAACCGTTTTTGCTGAACTGGTTGCAGCCCTTTAGACAGGGTTGAAAGCTCAATATTGAAATAGTTGATCAGCCAAGACACCCAAATACAATTTTTACTCAATAGGACACCTAAAGGACCCAACCAGCCTGACCAACTGCAAATGTTTGGTCCCAATAGGACACGACCTTCTATTAACACTAATTAGTGGACCCTTTTTAACCTCGATTTTGTAGATCTCTCCCTTCTCCACCCACTCCCATTCCCCATCAATCCAAAAGAGGAAGTCGAGTGGGAGGAGACATGCAGGCCCTTATTCCGTTAATTGATTAATTGTTGTGTGAGTTATGTTAGAGTGTGCTTCCACCAATCCAATTACCTAGAATATAATTTTGTAGATTTTTTTCTTTAGATGTGCTGAAAGAATTTTTAGACAAACCAAGGAACCTTCACGAAGACCATTTAAGGGCTCTTGAGAAAGGTAAGGTAATTTTTTCACACTTTAGATGTTTTTAATTATTATCTCATTTTCTTTTCTTCCTGCTCCCAAACGTTTGACATAAAATAAGTAACTTTGAAGGTATAACTCTCCTCCTTATTTTCTGCCAATTTGGGGAATACATTCTGGATATCACATGTATTTTGGGTTTGTAAAATGGCACAATAGACTGTAAATACAGGATTTGAGCTATATTGGAGAAGCTGTAGCTTTATTCCTTATACATGTATGAAATTGTTGAGGGAAGAAACTCAAAGGGTGGGAACTTTTTTAAGAATTTTACAGTTTCCAACATTTCTCTCACTAAAACGCTGGCAGTTGCAGTCCAGATGCACCTTTGACGGTATTTGACAGTGAACATGTAATTCGACGATTTGAGGAAGATGATTACATTGCCGAGACTCAATTTGGCAAACATTTGGCCTGATCATTTCCAAGGTTAAGGCCATTTGAAAATTCAATTTTGTTTGAAATATCATCTGATTTCAAGAGGAACACTAATTTCTTGTGTGTTTGGCGAGGTAACAAAATGGCTTTTGCATTCTCTCTACATAGGATCCATTGCTTATGTAAAGGTTGTAGCAGTGACAGGCAACGTGAACGGAGGAGGTCAACAGCGTCCCTGGGGTAATAATCCAGAACTGGTGATCGTGCTGAACAATCGCAAGAAGTATCGAGCAGAATTGAAAAATGACAAGAATCCAGGTACGCAATACAAAATAGAATTGAATGTCCACCGTGATTTTACACCGCCGCTCATCTGCACTCAAAAAGACATCAAGGAAGTTTATCTCGAGGCTCGAGGTACTGATGGATGGTACGTAGCATCGATCGACACCTACAGCATGGTAGCAAATAAAATATACACGAAACTGACCACAGATCCAGGCTTCAGTATGTGGGTGGACACCGATGAAGAATATCTTTACCCATACAATGCCAAAAAGCACCTCCTTACCAATGCTGTCGCAGGATCATGTATCACATATATACGTGTAGATGCAATGACGGGAGACGAGTGGGGAGCTAGTTTCTCTAAAGAGTATGGAAAGAATCACTTGATAGTTCTCTTTCTATCAAATAATGAAAAATGTCAGGCAGAACTTGAAGGACCTATGAAACGAGACCAATCTTATGTGCAAGAGTTACACTTTAGAAGCCGGTTTAAAACTACACAGTGCGTGTCTCTATCTGACATTAAGGAAATTCACCTACAAACTCAATATGGAGGAGATGACGGTTGGTACATAGCATCCATTCGCACTTCTGCTAAGACTGGTGATAAGCAGTACGAGAATCTGACAAGTGATCCACACCTCAACAAGTGGCTTGATGCTGATGAAGAGCACAAGTATCCTTACAATGCGAAAGACATCAAACTAACATGGGTAGTTCAAGAAACCCTTAATTGTGAATATGGTAAGCCAACTTGTGAATGCAGTGCAAATGCAGAGGTTTGCAGATTGAACCTTGAAATTGATGAAATTCGAACCTTCACCAGCTATCAGAAGTTATCGGTGGATGAACCTACAGGAATTGCTATGCGAGGATCTCAGGGAGTGATCTATTATTTCGGTGATGATGGGACTCCTATGCCTCTGCAAACTAGTAGAATATGTTCAACACAGGATAGCACCAAATGCACCATTCCCCAGTTTGTAGATGGTAAAACGTATCGTTTGGCGATAGCCGTCAATGGACAGATTCCTGGACCTACCTTGATAGTTCACGAAGGGCAAATTGTTGTAGTTCATGTTCACAACAATCTTACCACTGAGGGTATTTCAATTCACTGGCATGGGATGCACCAGAGAGGAACACCTTGGATGGATGGTGTAGGACAAGTGACCCAATGTCAGATAGGGCCTTCATCAAGCTTTTCGTACATGTACACTGCTCGTCCTTCTGGGACGTTTTGGTACCATTCTCACAGTGGTGCTCAGAGGACAGATGGCTTTTTTGGTGCACTTATAGTTAAAGAAATACCCGAAAGAATGAAGACAATCAAAGCCAATCTCCAAGAGCATGGTGCATTTGAAGACCTTCCAGAAAAGCACACCTTAACGCTTCTAGACTGGCAACACGAGTCATCCTTGGACCTCTTCACACAGATCCACGCTAGCTTGGGCTTTTATCCAGACAAATCGCTTGGCGAGGTGCCCACTCCAAATGATCAACGCTACGAATCCACACGTAGTTTTGAAGAAGGAGAGGTTGGGCCTGTCCCGTATTTTTCGGGAATTATAAATGGGAAAGGTAGGCACATTGATGTTCCATACGTCAAGACAAGACTGAGTATATTTACTGTCGAGGCTAAAAAGACATATCGCTTTCGGCTTATTGGAGCCCAAGGGCTGTATGCTTACCGCTTCTCCATTGATGGCCATAAACTGACTGTGGTGGGCACTGACGGCTATTGGATTCAGCCTGTAGAAGACGTTGATTACATTATCATCCATTCCGGAGAGAGGTATGACTTTCTTCTTAGTACAAGAGATACATTTGGGCTGAAAGACTACTGGATGCGTGCTGAGACTCTGGAGATTGATAGAAGTGGGGCTGGGCCACCCTTCCGGTCACTAGGACACGTGGCAGAGGCTATTTTACACTACAAACAGAATGGGGACTCAGATGATCCGGATGATAATGTACCATCAACAAAATACCAAGAAATCAAAGAAAAGTCTCCTCCTACACAGTGCACCAAGGATGACCCATGCAAAGCAGTCAACTGCCCATTTAAGAACTTTCATCCATTATATTACATTACCTGTACTAATGTTCAAAGCCTACGTTTACTTATGCCAACTCCACCTGATGAGCTTCCAAATGCAAACCCTAGAGGCCCAATGGATTGCAAAGGTTGCAGACACTTCATCAACTTCAATTTTGAGGGTGACTCTCAAACTAGTGCAGTGAATGGGCGCAATTTCATTCTCCCCTCCTTTCCTCCCCAAATCCAAACTGAAGAGTTTCTAAAAAAGGACACAAAGTGTGACCTTAAGGCTGACTGCAATCCCTCGACACCCGAGTGCTCATGTGTCCATGTCATAGACATTCCACATCGGGAAACTATTCAAATGGTGTTTTCGGCAATTGGTGCTTACCACAATGCTCATCCCATTCATCTCCATGGCCATACTTTTCATGTTGTTCATGTTGGATATCCAGAATATAACAAAACAAATGGTTTCATTAAAAACCACAACAGTGATATATACTGCGATGACATCCACTGTACTAAAGAGGGCTGCGACAAAAGGAGATGTACCAGACCAAGATGGAAAACAGAACCAATGCATTTTCCCATCGATAGCCATACGATCAGGAAGGACACAGTTATGCTCCCTGCTGGAGGGTACGTTGTCATCAGTTTCCTATCTGATAATCCTGGCTACTGGTTTCTTCACTGCCACATAGAGGTGCATCAGCTCGAGGGAATGGCAATAATTGTCAATGAGACTTCTCCCAAGCCGCTCCGACCACCCAAAGGGATAGGCAAGTGTGGAGACTTTGAGATAAGTGTCAATAAGTTTCGCTCGTACAGTTCCAAGGTGATCAATTAACTGAAGAAGAGAGTTAAGATCTTAGCATTCTCAGCAACTATTGGTCTCAACAAAACTAGTGATTAGAAAACACTTTGAGACAAAGCTTGTACTAAAAGCAGTAGTTCTCTAACTCTATATAAGAAAACAAAAACAACTAGCAAAAGCTGTTGAAGTGATAATGGCGCGAGCAACGAGAATTTACATTTTGATTACCAAAGTTAACGAGTGCTTTTCCTTTCTCTATCAGCCAGCGTTTTCTCTTCGTTTCTATTGAGTCACAAAATCACTCGTGAAAGCTTGAGAAAACTCGAAAAAACTGTAGCAACACTCGCCGGCGGGTCGTATTCACAGTGTTTTCCGTTCTCCCAAACTTCCAGTTAGGTTTTCATTTAACAATTAGATCATGTGCTCGAGATTTCCATGACGTGACACATGTAGTTGATGAGGTGGAAGGTCTCATCAACTACTAAACTTCTAGCTGTTTACGCACGCTCGTCAGCTTAATGAAAAATTTTGAGGTTTTAAAGTCAGATAATAACCGATTTCCTTTCTTCAGCCTTTTTAAAAACTGAAATACAGTAGACCCCGGTAACTCGAACTCTGAAGGGAAACGAAAAACTGTTCGAGTGAGCGGGATTTTGAGTTATTGGGGTCGATTGAAATATTCCATTTTCCCGGTTAATAATTGATATTTTACGTTATGTAATTGTACTCAGCAACTGAAGAACTCTCAAGTTAAAAAAAAAAACGGAAATATACAGTATGTGTTTGTAAAGACATTCCAATGGATACATGTTTACTGCACTGTAGCACTGTTTTTTTCTTTGTGACAGCAAAGACACCGCATCCGGTATCACTGTTATGATCGGTAAATAACTGTCAAATACGTGATATGTTCGTTGCAGTAATTAAAATCAAATTGCTCCAGCCCTTGTTCTAGTGTTAGAATTCGATCACTCGATAAGAAGAGCTAATGGGATATCTCAATGGTTATCCGTGGCGAAGAACCAGAAATTCGAGTTATCAGGGTAAATTTTGATCAATGAAAACGAAATTTAGTTAGCGGGGTTTTCGAGTTATCCGAGTTCGAGTTAACCGAGTAAAAATGACTGAAAAGTTGGATCAAATCCAAGGGAAGTGAGACTCAGTTCGAGTTAGCGGGAGAGTTCGAGTTATCCGAGTTCGAGTTACTGGGGTTCTACTGTATCCTGTAGTGTTTCCAAATCTTCCTCCGAAACATCGGAAAGACGAGAAAACTTCCCCGTTATGTGGATGATTCCTGAATCCAGGCATTATACACTAATGGCTGATAGTATACGATAGGTCAGGCAATTATAGTGCAGTATTTGCATTAGTACGCTATTAGAATTGTACGAAAACTAGAGAGAAAAGGGGTATTTTTAATACTTTGTTTAATGTCAAGTAAAGGCACAAACTAAATGATGCTATGAAACATTCTCAGGAGTTTCGCGCCATTTTTGTCTTCTAAGGAAGTGAGCAATGCAGAGTAGAGACATGAACTTTAATTAATATCACTTCCAAGAGTTACGGCAAATGCTACAAAAAGGCATTTCTTTTTCAGTAATCTTATCGAGTAGAGTTTGTGTAGTAGGTTATTCTTGGTGTGATACCTGAAGGCAGAATGTTCGAGGGCTTTCATTTATTAGGGCATGCAGGGTGTTTGCCTGCAGACACAAAGGAAATACGAGACGTCTGCACGCAGGCAAGCATGGTGGAGGGAGGGATACAAACGTCCGTTGGTAAGTCGCGCTTCCAAATATATCAAGCCCCTATTTATGGGGAAACATTACATTATTCCCATCTTCACTGCGACACACAGATATCTGCCACTCCCTGAAGCATTCCTCCTAAGGCTTCTCTTATTATCTGATAACCGCCTCCTTCTTAAGTTCCCAAAACAATGACCCCCTCCAATGCGCTAAACTATGAAGTCCCCTTATGACCGAAAGATTAATGTTTTAGAACTGTTCATTTCTATTAGAATGGAAACGTCAAGTAGTTAGAACCATAGTCTTGGACATATAGAGGCATTTACAGGTGGCATTTTATAAGAATTCGATCTTCTTAAATACCACAGTGACATCTGTAACGTAGTGTTTAAGCTTGTTTAGTATGCACTATCTTAGATCATATAATAAGCTCAATAATGCACGCATTTTGTTTGGTACTCACTTATGATCACACCATTAGAGGACAGACGCATAGATGGTATTTTGTTTATTAAACAAAACAAATAGATCACGGAAAAAGTCAAAATGTGGTAAGAACATCAGTGACACAGTCAATTGAGTATCGTAAAACCAAAAGCAAAGTAAGCTCTCTGGTCAGTCACAAATTATGCAGACAAACTGTGAACCTATCAAAACTCTAGAAAATACATGTAACCGACGCTAAGCGCGGGAAAACGTGTGCGAGCAAGTTACGATTGTTTTGGTTTTACTTCTGACTGAATGAGAAGGAGGCAAACGGTTCTTTAACCTATCGCTTAACGAAGTAATGCAAAACCGAAGTAAACGCGAATTACTTTCGACACTCGAGTAAAAACCGCTCTATCTCGTAAAACCACAATCTTAGACATAAAAATATGGCAGTAGATTTTTGTTGGATTTAGAATGAGCTGCTGTAGACTCGGTGTTTAGTAAGAAGTATTTTGATAAGAATACTCATACTTGATTGACCTTGCTTATAACATTTTGTTGTAGTGCTTCCGTTTGGAAGATCATACACTTAATATGCTAGGTACTTATTATTATAAATACTACTTTTAAGTAGTAAAAAGCCTTTATCCGTATTGGTATGCTAATCAACTTTTTTTCTTTTATTATTCATATTGATGATCTATACATTAGGTCATTTCACAGCTTAATTTAGGAATGGCTACTTTTTAAAAAAGTAGCCTTTTCTGAAGTGTATATATTTACTACTATTTTAAACACTAATCGGTCAAAAAACATCGATCAGTTAAAAACGATAGACTTGGACACAAAATGGCATTTAGTATTCAGTATTTGCTATAAGTATTTGATGACAGTGGTTGCTAGAATTCATTATATTCATTGATTTCTTTTTTGATAATCTTCCAGGTTAAGTATACACATTTTGATAGATTGCTTTTGATTGGAGTATAATGTGTGATCAGCTATTAAAATAGGTACATGTATAAAGTTGTTGCTTGATAGATTGATCAAGACCGTTATCATGTTTTATCTGTTTAGAGCGATGCACGGAAGAAAAGTTAACTTAATTCCCCACCCCCTCCCTTTCAGCTGAAATTTGAAGGTATTACTTTAGGTGTTTCCCACACCAATCTCACTTGTATCGTTCCTACCCGTCCCGACCCGTCACCCGACCCGTCATACAACTTGTAGGTTATGCGCAATGCGCGGTACTTGCAGGGACAAAATGGGTGTCATTCTTGATGAACATTTCTAGTTCCAGTGTTAGACCCTGTATCGGCTCGTGGTTATAAACTCAAAACTCAACCGAGTTCAAAGCCTACAATTCTGCGACGTTTAATTTATGCACTTAAAAATTTTATTCTTTCTGAGAATAAAAAGCACACTGACGACACTTTTGCGCTTTGGAAATAAAGTTTGTTTTGAAAATAACAAGCGAATGCGTGGGGAAATTATCGGATTCTTTATCATAAAACAAATAAAAAAGCCTCAACCGTGCACTGTTCTGTTATAAAGCACGCAGGAAGCGACGAGAGCACTCACGAAGTCTTGAATACACTCGCCTGCGGCTCGTGTTTCATAATAATAATAATAATGATCGTTTATTCAACCTCTTTGCAGCATAAACTGAATTACAAGGCGGGTCATTAATTACATACAAATACCTCGGAATTATGACACGTAAATATAACTGTTAATGGTAAGACATATCACATTTCGCTATTTTAAACGTGATTCTGGTATTTGATGGTGCAAAAACTTCCAAATCTGTTAGTTCTTGAGGAGGCAGGCACAGAAACAGATTCTCCTGTCCTAAGGGCATACGGTCTTGTGTGTGCAACTCGCGGCACTAAGCTTCGTAGCAGATCGGAAGAAGAGTAACTTCGCGTGAGAAATGTTATGCACGCATCCTCCCTCCTCTGGCGCAGCAAAATTAAGCCTGATTTCTTAAGCGCGTCCTCATAACACAGAGAAGGAAAAATAATTTTTAGCGCCCTCTTTTGTATTGATTCAATTTGATCACTTAAGTATTGCGTGAGGCCAGCCCAAGCGGGACTCGCATACTCTAAAACAGACCTGATGATACTACAATAGAAAAGAATAAGCTGGCTATCAGTTAGTCCGCACTTCTTAAGGGCGCGTATTGCATATAACCGCTTACTCCCTTTCTTTTCAATATGAGTGACATGCTCGTTGCATGTTAAGTTATCGGACAAGTGTACCCCTAACAGCTTGTAACAGGAAACCTTTTTCTATTAGAGAGCTACCAACCAGTAGAGGGGCTGCGGGGAAGCGGGCAATACTGCAAAAAACTAATGCACATTTCCTTGCATTCTTTTTTTCACGACTTCTCTCGTGCTCTCGTCGTTTGCCGCGTGCTTTATAAGGAACAGAGCACGGTTGAGGCTTTATTTATTTGTTAATTAATATCTACAACAATAAAGATATTAAGGATAATAAATAGTGCGAAACCTATATACATTATGCAGACAAACTATTCCTAAGATTAGGATTGGCAAAATATAGCTTATAAAACACCTGAATGAAACGTTGGTTATGCGCGTGCAGCCATGATCTTATGCCTTCCTCTCTAAAATATGCACCAAAATACATTCTTACATTGGTATACCTCAAAGAAATTTTGCAAAGTGCGTATTTCTCTTCCTTTCCCATTTCAAAACAAAGAAAATTGAAAGTGTTTACTTGCATCAACAAACGTTTCTGCACTTTGTTTAGACTTTGATGAGGTCAGCGCAATCCTCCAGGCACTACATATACGCGCGCTGTTGTCCAGGTCAAGTGGGGAGATGAAATTTGATGGTAGCTCGTGTATGTTAAAGCCGGTCTACTTCGCTTTTGTTAAGACCATGTTAGAGTTTTTTTTGCAAACTACACATTTTGTTAAATCACGAGCACATTCGCCAAGACCAACGAGCAAAATAGTAGCAATGATAGCTTTCAGACGCGCCATTTTGATGAAGGCAAACCCTGTGGTGAGCCTCCATGCACATCGCTTGTTCAGCGGTCGCGCATGCTCATGCAAAAAGACCCCTGTTCCTGTTACATACATTCAGACTCTTGGCTACTTGTGAGTCTCTGATAACCTTCTTCCCGGAGGGCTACCTATTCTGAGGCAAGTATCGAAAAATTTTAAGGGCCTTTGGTTGCTTGTTACCACGTTTCTTCAAACATTTCATTGGAATCACGAAAATTGTGGGTATTCCTCTTTGGAAGACTACATCCCAGAAGCCACTCACGTGGTCATGCTAATAAACGGCAAGTGCTACTTACGAATAATATTCATGGCAAAAAAAGTATTTCTCGTTTCATTAATTGTGTAATTCTTGGGAAGAGAATTACGTTCTTAAAGATTGTGCGTATAGTACTGTGAGAATAAAAATCAAGAGTACTTTCTGTTATAACTACTTCTTCATGCGCTAGAAATTAAAGTTATTACATTTTGCGTCAATGTTATTACATTTTGCGGCGATTCTTATTACATTTTGCGTTAGTATTACAATTTGCGGGGTAACAAGGGAGCCCTGGTGCTAGGGTTATCCTAACACTCACACATTTCTTTTTTTACGCGCCGTGCTTACAAGGCAGGTTTATAGGGTTACTCTGGCGCTAGGGTTACCCTAGCAAGAGGGTTACCCTACCTGACTTGTAAAAGCCCTGCTAAGGATAACTCGCCTACCCGGGACAACTTTCCTCCGTCATGCGTGACTAGTAATCTTGACAATTTGAACGGAGTTATCGAATTTCTGAGCTAAATTGTAAACATCTTAATAATATTTAACGTGTTTTCCATAGAGAACTTCAAGTTTTCTTTCAAATCGTGGACGTACGTTACAAAGAATGTTTATTTTAGTCTTATATGGTCACGCGTGACGAAATACGCCAGTAAAGCTGGTAAAGTTAACCCCCATACCTGGGAAATTTTGCTTGTTAAGAGGCGCTACTCTTTAACCGATTTGCTAGGGTAACCCTAGCCCTTAAAAAATCATTCTCCAATCCCAACATTCACTGGTTGCTCACGCGCCTGCGCAAATGATAACGGAGATCAAGGGATGGACTAGTCGTTGATGGACGAAGGTTTCCGAGTTATTTATTTCAAGTTTTCAACTCACAGCGTACCCTTAAAGACAGATGCCATGAATGTATCTATGTGTATAGTATAGTTGTATCAGTACTCCATGCTCCCAGAGCCTACTGCAGGTTGTTCAGTTGGAATTGGCCGGCAGCGATTCCAGGCTAAACCCCATGGCAACTTCTTAACCGTCTGGCAGGACAGACCGTCTTTGCAGAAGCATCTTGTAAAACCCTGAAAATTGTAGAAGTCAGCCTAGTTGTTGACTAAATGCGGGGTTTTAATAACTCCCGGCTCTTATCAGTCTCTTAAGTGGTATAAGGTTCAAGTTTAAAAACAAACTTGTGGACTATCCTTGTCGTTATGATTGTCGGAAAAATCCATTTTGTTTACAACTCTGAAAAAGGAAGACGCGGTTAAAGGTTTTTACTGTTGTTACTAAATCTTTTTAAAACAATTTTGGTGTGACCCAAAAAGAACAATACAAAACAACGAAACATCTGATTGCACAATGCCCTACTCTAGACGAATGACTGCTTGGCTACCTGAATCATGAAATATTTGCGATTTAACGTTGGTAGTTGGTCATCGGAAGAAGACTGGCATTTCTAAGCCTGAAAGGGTCAGTAAAGATTTAAATGAAAACAAGCGTTTATCAAATCACGTACAACGAAGTTACAGGACTGATTGAGTCCTCTTTTAGGTGCACAGACACCAAAGTAGTTTGGATTAAGACAACAGCGATCTGGACCACAGTCTGAATCCTTGGTACAGCTCTGTGAACAAAGCCAAAAAAATAAATGTTAATCTCATCTTAGTCATTCATTGACTAGTCAGCTTATAGACTACTTGCCTCAGGTGCTCAAAGGGTAGATAGTGCATGCAACCCTATGGACGGATAACGCTACCTTACAATCTAGTGGATAAAGCAACCTTTTCCCCTGGCTCTTATTCACTGAATGGCGATTAGTCCGGTAGAAAGAGCGACCAAACCGGCGTTTAAGCAACCGGGACCAGGTTTTCCAAACCAGGAATTGCTGGTCTTCAGTGTCACGCCATCCAAAATAGATCAAAATAAAAATCAAAACCATACGACAGATAAAGTCCAGAATCTGGGAAATGAAAGGAGGTAAATATACAAAAACCCTCGCCAAGATTTGGGTCAAAGGAATTATTCGTATACGAGATATCCGAGGAAATGTTTTACCCAAATTTATAGAGCTTTGTATGGAGACGCCATGCTGGAGCTCATCCGGATGAGCTCCAACATGGCGGACGGAAACCAACGGAAACATCTGTTACCGAGTTTTGCTACAAAAGCGTGAATTTACTCCTAGAGGAACCCATAAACATTAAAGTAATACTTTTTCTAACACTTGAACTGTTTAGATAGGAAAATTCCTCGAAAAAAGTCACTTTTTTAACCTAAATGACAGCTCTCTCGGCCGTCATGTAACTGCTGCGTCACGCAAAAACTTATAAA